AAATGAGACATAATACCGAATCAATACTGACTGACCCACATTCAGCGGTGAGCGGCAATGAATCAGCTACTGATGTTATATGAAGGACACGGCATGAGACAGATACAGCAAAAGGTAACAAAACTGTGGACCACTCGGATAAAATCAAACTAGAACTTCAACTTGAGCTGATTATCTCAGGCAAAATGTCACGTACAAAGCTCAAGTGCGCATGTTCGAATGTGCGAAGTCACTTGAAAGTCTTGCTGCTTCGAGATCACGATATCTGTAATTCGTGTTCCACTTAATTAGTACAAGTTTTAAACTCCTCGCCACTTCTGTGTTCTCTGGCACTGCTTGGCCTTCGTAAGGGTGGGCTTCAGTGGCCGAGAGGGCCAGAGGGCCTAAATGGTCAAAAGGGCCTAAATGGTCAAAAGGGCCTAAATGGTCAAAAGGGCCTAAATGGTCAAAAGGGCCTAAATGGTCAAAAGGGCCTAAATGGTCAAAAGGGCCTAAATGGTCAAAAGGGCCTAAATGGTCAAAAGGGCCTAAATGGTCAAAAGGGCCTAAATGGTCAAAAGGGCCTAAATGGTCAAAAGGGCCTAAATGGTCAAAAGGGCCTAAATGGTCAAAAGGGCCTAAATGGTCAAAAGGGCCTAAATGGTCAAAAGGGCCTAAATGGTCAAAAGGGCCTAAATGGTCAAAAGGGCCTAAATGGTCAAAAGGGCCTAAATGGTCAAAAGGGCCTAAATGGTCAAAAGGGCCTAAATGGTCAAAAGGGCCTAAATGGTCAAAAGGGCCTAAATGGTCAAAAGGGCCTAAATGGTCAAAAGGGCCTAAATGGTCAAAAGGGCCTAAATGGTCAAAAGGGCCTAAATGGTCAAAAGGGCCTAAATGGTCAAAAGGGCCTAAATGGTCAAAAGGGCCTAAATGGTCAAAAGGGCCTAAATGGTCAAAAGGGCCTAAATGGTCAAAAGGGCCTAAATGGTCAAAAGGGCCTAAATGGTCAAAAGGGCCTAAATGGTCAAAAGGGCCTAAATGGTCAAAAGGGCCTAAATGGTCAAAAGGGCCTAAATGGTCAAAAGGGCCTAAATGGTCAAAAGGGCCTAAATGGTCAAAAGGGCCTAAATGGTCAAAAGGGCCTAAATGGTCAAAAGGGCCTAAATGGTCAAAAGGGCCTAAATGGTTAAAAGGGCCTAAATGGTCAAAAGGGCCATTTTGTAATTGTACGTTAGGTTACGTTACGTAGGGTTAGTTTAGCTTAGGTTAGGTTAAGTTAGGTCAGGTCAGCTTAGGTTGGTTAGGTTAAGTTAAGTTAGGTTAGGTTAGGTTAGTTAGCTTAGGTTGAGTTATGTTAGGCTAGGTTATTTTACGGCGATTTGATAAGTTGAGCTGTTTGTTTCCAAGTCTAAAGTGGGCTTCAGAAGCAGGAATTTTCGAAATAGACCATGGATGGTCGGAAATTGCTGAAATTTTGTATGGACGTCGTGCCACAGGTAAGTAATAAAATTTCATACTCTTCCGTGTCACAACACTTGTAATAAATTCACACGAAGGCATCAAAGTCCCGAGGTGGAAGAAACGCGAAATCGGCCACGATCACCAACATCCGACTTTATCAACAAGGAATTACGCATAGAAACGTTTCTTTATGTTTTCTAACTGGTGCCTATACGTGCACAGATACGTCATAAGACTAAAAAATGCACAAAATGAGTGTAGAAATATTTTTATGGCGAAGATACTGATAGTGACTAAGGTTATGTAAGCGCGTTGTAGCTTCATACGTAAGGATTCGCGCGCAGAAATCACCATACGTAAATAAGGGGGTTACAAGTGAATCCAAACACATTCAAGTGTCGGAATTTAATAAAACAAACAAATAAATATGCAATATGAATTGCAAAGATCAAAAACCATTTCGAAAATTATGCAAATGTTCGCACACATTGAATGTAGCGTACAGATGGCAGCATGTGTAAAAACAATTTCCGAATTAGACTGGTGCTGACGTGATGTTGCAGTCTTCACGACAATATCAGTCCATGGGTTTTCAGAATAGAGGTTTTTAAAATTCTCGAGGTATTTCGAAAGTCATTTTTTCAAACGCATTTTTTTGCCGATCTGTAGGAATCTGAATAACTATAATCTTGTCAGTTCCAGGTCATGGATAGTTCAATGTCACCTCGTGATCAAAAGAAGATAAGTCCAAGGTTTTGAGGAATAAAGGCCTTTAAAATTTCGAAGCTCAATTCAAGAACATTTTCTCTCAGGCTTATATCTACCTAACTTTATTAAACTGAGTGACCGTAATCATATTAGTATGAAGCCACTTATAGAAAAAAATCATTCATAAGCCAGACCAATTACATTCCAAAGATGGGGCTACTTGAGAAGGGTAGGTTTGGTTAGTCTAGGTTGGGTCAGTTTAGGTTGGGTTAGGTTAGGTTTGAGTGGAATGTGTTAGGATATGGTTTGGTCCTTTACGTTGCGTTGCGTGGTTAGGTTTGTATCGTTTTAGCTTTTGTTATTACGGGATAGGTAAGTTGTGGTCACGTATGTCCATGTCATTAAAGTTCAATGTCATTAGAAAACGAATTTTTCCCACACTTAATTCCGAAGAAATATCTTCGAGAACATGTATATCGTTGAGGTCGCGCACAAATCAAGGTCATGTCACAGACACGACCAGGGCTGTGGAGTCGGAAGCAATTTTAGGTTAAGTCGGAGTCGGTAAAAATGTACCGACTCAGACTTCGATACAAAATCTTTAGAAGAATTTCTATACCGGGTGAGCCGCCGGCGGCCTCAAGGGAGATTTAACGACGCGTTAAGCCACGTGGTGTGTGGCAATAAAGCTTTGTAACTTTGGCTCCGGTACCTTATGATTACAAACTGTCTACAAATTAACCGAATTCTGCAATAACCATTAGACGTATATTTAAATATAGGTTATAAATCTAAAACGTGGTGATGATGAAATATCTTATGGTGTCATTTAATATTTAAGTACGTTTACCCTTATTAATGCATTTTGAGCTTTTATGAAGGAGTCGGAGTCAGATATTTTAGTACCGACTCCACAGCACTGGTTGTATGGGTTTGAAACAAAGTTCACCAGGCTCCAGGCCATGAAGTGTCATAAACTGGGACGAGTAAGACGACAGGAAAACGGAATAGGACAAGTGCCTGGGACACTTCATTCTCTGGCAAACTTTGTTCCCTAGCGAACAACATGGCAGAAGTACCTAAAATCATGAAAATCCGTCATCTGGTTCAAACGACTTTTAGGCAAGTGGCGCGTGAACACATAAACACACACCGACCCACAAGACACAGCATAAAAACAACAAAAATAAGGGAGAAATGTCTTCATGTCTACCGCTTGAGAGTCTAACATATGCACGTAATAGCTGTCCTGCTACACGCGATGTAGGAGCTATCAGGGAGAGGAGGTATAGGTCCTACTCATTCTTGACCTCGGCACCAGATGGGGGTGAGTGGTCAGTGTCATGCACTGGTTCCAGAAGAGTACCCTGGCACCCATTAGATAGGAGGTTGGGTGGGCTCCAAAGCAGAGACCAGAGGAAAAATCCTCTGCCCCTGTCAGGGATCGAACCCCGGTCATTCAGTTCATATTCAGCTACCCCAGCTCACAACATTCACAAGTACCTTCCATTAACGTAAATATGTGGTAAGATGGATGGGGCATGTGGCATGCACAGGACGGACGAGTAACGCAAACAAAGTTCCGGTCACATATCTAAAGGGAAAAGCCAAATGGGAGGAAAATATTGATTTGATATCTGCGCTATTTTTCAACAGAACTGCCTCGCCTATTAAGCTACGTATTTGTCCAACCATTCGATGAGAATATGCATTCCCTTGCCGAACCTGACAGCTGACGACACACATCATGCTGAACGTCTGTTTCAAAGCGCCTTCCAGAAATATGCCGCTCTAAAGGCATGAACAAACAGAAATCAGAGGCTGCCGGTGCCCACTTTTCAAAATCCGAGCTGTTTCTGGACGATCCCGTACGCCGTCGCCTTGGGAAAACCAACCTCCTGCATAATTGTTTCGATCACTCCTTAGTTCACCACCAAAGTTCATCCTCGTGCCTATTCCGAATTCAATGACTGACACAAGCTCCTGATAAATTTCACTCGCTAAAGTCCCGTTCACATGTAGAGACTGAATTACTGAACAGACTTCGACGCTGAACCACATCTCCAGTGGCACCACCATGTCGGTTTGCTTGCCACATTTAAACAATAACCAGCATTCCCATACCTCAGCACTTTTCAGAAAGACGGCATACACGTACACATTTATCGGTACCGAATCAAACAACTACGTCACGCTACTTTCTGAACCTCCCTCATACACCGAATGTTTAAGAACACAACGATGAGGAAAACATTTGGACCGAAGTGAGTATTAACAAGATGGAGAAAACTACACGAGGTGCTTCATAATTCAGTGTTCACTAAAATACAAGTACACGGGGGTAAAATCAAGAGGATGAATGAGCAGGGCATGTAGCATGCATGGGGGAAGATGATTCCATTATGAACTCTTACAGTTCATGCTATTTCCCCATCTCTGCAGTTGAAATAACATCCTTGAATGTCCAAAATGGGTTTTTCAAGTGACTTTTCAAGAAGATAATCCATCAATTATACATCAAACGAGACATTTCTGCATGCTTATTGTCGCTGGACCATATTTTTTAACTTGTCACTGTAAGAAATGATGTTTACGAGGCTAATCGGGGCTCCGTCTTCAGGTAAGAGGAAATAGCACCTGAAGTTGAAGAGATCCACTGTCTGGCACATCACACATCTTTCTGATAGAGCCAGTCTTCAGGCAAAGAGCCATTAGGTAGTGGCTAAGTCTGTACAGAATATTAAATCTTTGAAGCCCATATAGTGATACGCTACTACTATCAAATTATTCTTCTAAACTCTCAGAGTCGGACGACTGCACTGGGTAATAATATTCTGAATGCGAGACCGTCGGACACAGTCTGAAAGGGGGTAAGTCTTTATTACATTACGTGTAAAATACAATGCAAGATTTCACTGGAATTCTGCGCACATTTTATCACTGCTGTAATTCACTTCACCCAAACACCCTGTCTAACACTGCTGCAAATGTCTGGTTGAATCTTGCTCTACTTGTAATGTCTGCACAGAGTACTTTTGTCTCTTCTGGACAGATTTTCGCTACCAGCGTCAAACACTCCTCTGTCAGATTCACAATATGCTGCTCCTCTTCATCCTTTCTCCCCCCTGTGGTCTCCTCCTTGTACGTTATATCACACAGCAGTCTGAGCAACATTTGCAGCAACGTCTGACAGTGGGCTGGTACGAGCGGCCAACAGTGACGCACGAACACCCGAATTGCCTGCAAAGTGCGACACACATTCACTTGTTCAGCTGCAAATGTTGGCAGAGAAATTTAAATGACTGCCTGGGCAACTCACTAAAATTCAGGAAATGCATGCTATTATTTACTCTATGACCTATTTGATTTTAAAATTAAAAAATAAGTAACTAACTCCACAAATAAAATAAATAAAATAATTAAATCCGTGGCATAACAGCTCCAGAGAGCCAAAGCCGACTAGCTGGCTGCTGGCCTCACGTTCACATGCCTAAGCAGAGGCGAACGATCATCCAACCAGATATAGGGTGACGTGTGGTGAGCACAACAAACCCCCAGCCATTGCTAGCTTTCCTGATCAGATTACACTACCCATTGTAGGTCCCCAATTTCCTCACGATGCTGGGTTGACACCGGTCCCATACACTGGTCGAAAGCTCATGTGAAAATTTCTTCTCCCCCAAGACTCGAATCAGCGCGCATTCCGTATCGCCGGTCCGAAGCATGATGCCTCAGACTGCGCGGGACAACCAACTCCACAGAGCGGAGAACTTAAGAATCTGACAGCATGCTACGCTAGCTTGTCATGGACTCCAAAGATTCATTACTACATTCACAGGAACTTGCCATGGGTCTCTCTATCTTGAGCCAGATGAATCCAGTCCAGACTCTCCCATGCTATTTCCCTATGATCCACGTCAATGTTATCCTCTGACATATGTCTATGTCTTCCAAGCGGCTTCTTCCTTTCAGGCTTTCCAATTAAAATACTGCACACATTTCTCACCTTGACGATGTGCTACATGTCCACCCTATTTCATCCCCCTTGATTTTATCATCTGTTAAAGCATACAAATTATGGAGCTCCTCAGTGTGCGATTTTCTTCAGTCTCCTTTCTCTTCATCCCTCCCAAGGCCAAAAAAAAAAAACGTTCCTCAAAATCATGTTCTCAGACAACCTCAATCATCTTAATGTGACAGACCGAGTTTCACACCCACACAAAACAACAGGTAAAATTAGAGTTTTGTGTAAGTTAACCTTTATAATTTTAGATGCCAGACAGCAAGATAAAAAATTCTGAACTGCACTTGTCAAAGAGCCATAATTAGAACATATGCTGATGGAGCATTCGGGTTTTCATCCGCTGGTCACTAATTACCTCACCCTGTGTTCTACGTCCGCAGAATGACATAGGGTAGAATTTAAAAAGTTCACAAACATCTAGCAGAGTAAATCACTAAGCAAACTGCAACAGTTCTGCCCGTAGGTGGACTAGACTACAAAGACTCGACAAATATGACAAATGGAGCTTCAGAAACTGCATATTAGGCTTTTGGATGGACAAAATGTTCAACAACCTACAATCGCATGATTACCACCATCAGCATCATCTTACGAGTACACAGTGATACATGTCTACATTATGAACATCTAAATTATCAATGGAGAGATATTTCCCCGCACGTCTACTGGGAGGACAGCATCTTAATATCCCACTCCAAAACCTCATGCCGCAGATGAAACTCATTATCTAAACAACCTACTTACGTGCATTGAGCACAGTCGCTCTTCAGAAACTAACAGCCATTTAGCGAGTCAGTAAATTTCCCGCCTTTCGTGGAACTCGAACAATCAGTCATCAGTCCCTGTTCTGAAGCAAATTAATCCAGTCCACACCCCCCACAGTCTATTTCCTACAGCTCCGCTTTAATATCATCCCCTGTGGGTGGTAAATTTCCTTTCGGTTTTTATAACCAAAATGATCACGAATACAATTTTGACTTCTTGAAGTCATTCCCAAATATTTTAACTTTTCTGAAGGATTTCTTAGCCACTTTTATGCTATGAACTTGTCTTGCAGTTGCAGTACGGTTAACGAGACATGAACGTAATGTTTCGACTTGTACGCACATATCATATGTTAATGCCCTCCCCACTTCATCCCCTCATACCGCACTTCAAGCGATGCCAAACAGTCTGCTAGAAGTTTCTCGGCTGGCCTTGGTCTTGCTTGGTTAGACTTTACGAACTGACAGGCAAAGGCATTCGTCTACGTCATTCCTATACAGCGGTAAAAAGTACAACTGTCCTGCTACGTGCCATGTAAATAGCTTGGGGGGAGTGGAGGTACAGCTCCTACTCATTTTTGACCTCAGCGCTAGATGGGGGCGAGTGGTCAGCATCACGCCCCGGCCACACTTTACCCCCAGGAAAGAACCCCGGTACTCACTGGAAAGGAGGCTGGGTGGGCCCAAGAACCGGTCTGGACGCAGAGGACAGAGGAAAAATCCTCTGCCCCCGTCAGCGATCGAACCCCGGTCGTCCAGTCCGTAGCTAGTCACTATACCGACTGAGCTATCCTGGCTGACATAGAGTGAACGAGCGCATCAGCCAGTTGCATACAAGTGACGAGTGGCACAGTAGCAGTGTACTACGTGTGTGTTCAGACATGAAGAAAATGGCAGCCGCAACCAGCGTTAAGTCCGACCTGCTAGCAGCCCCATACCATGGAGTACAGTAACCTACGTAACAGGATCTCGATTCAATAAGTCTGTTAAAAAGCTCTTCTATTGGAGCAAACAATCAAGGCCTCCCAAAAGGTCCCACGTCAAGGAGGTGAAACTTAAACATAATTAATACAAGCTTTCTTACCAGTAGGACATGCTCAGCTTCCTTTCGTTCAGAGTATCCAGCTACCTCCAGGTAGCGGCCACAAACACGCAGCAGACGCTCGCTCCAGCGGCACACCCTAAGTCCAGCAGCCTCAAGTAACGGTGGTAGTGATGAAATGTAAACTAGCCTCGATGTCAGCCGATCTTCCAGTTCCATAGTCTGCAGGAACCTCTCCAGAACGTCGTCATATCTGGACCACTACGGGTAAAACGGAATCCACAAATCAATTAGACTCTTAACTTTCTATTGCAGAACTTTACTGATTTGTGCTGAAAGTAAAGAGTAATCTCACAGATGGAGAAGTACAAATGCGGGTCTCGTCAAACGACACGACGATCTTATAAACTCTCATGAAAACTGCTAAATGCAAATAAATTAACGTGGATGGGCACTGTCTTTTACAAAGCTTAAATTTACAATATTTATAACTCACAATACCAGTGTTTGAACGTTATGACTGTGTAACAGTAAGCTTACTATTCTGGCTTGTGACATCGTAATTTATGTCGTGTTATACGTCACACTGTGAGCTATAAAATGGGCCCCTCAGTACCTCTGTCAGAGCATCATGAAACTGATCAGTGCTGCAAAGAACATAAATGAAAAGCCATTAAAGTAATCGTTCATTCTCACAGTATTAAATCAAGGATATAAGGGCAAGGGATTACTAGGACGCAAAGAGTATGCATGAAACATGTAGAGAATGTGGCATGTTGGTATTAAAATGGAGCTTAAAGATTTCTGTCTTCTGGGTTGTAGCGCTGTGTAGTCTGGTCGATGTTTACCAACGTTTCAGAGGTCATACTGCCTCCGTCATCAGAGTATGAAGATTTCTGTCTTCTGGGTTCTTGCACTGTGTATTCTGGTAGATGTTTAACAACGTTTCGGAAGTCATACTGCCTCCATCTTCAGGGCGATGAATATTCATACTCACCGCTGTGAAAACCTCAAATATTACAAAATGGAGCTTACATAACAAGTTTGTGAAAATGTGAACTCAGTTTAATTGCATGAGGATAAGTCTTCTGGCGAGGTTAAATGGTGACCATCTCCACAACAGGAAAATTCACATCTGGCAGAGAAATTAACAGCTGCTCTCAACACCTTCTGTACTACTGAGTTAAACACACAAGCCACAAGTGTATTTATTTTTTCCTCTCACCTGATAGTTGGGTTCGTCCTTGATGTAGCCTCCCTCCACCTTGCTGAGAACACAGATGAGGCAGGAGACTAGGGGCTGAACCGTGGCTGCCTCTCGTTGGTACAGCAGCGGTTCCAGGGCTTTGTAGATAACATCTCCACATCCATTCCAGCCCAGCTCCGTCCGTGTCTGCAAACAGCAAGCAACTCTGGTGCGTGATGCACGAATCTCAACAGTGTCGCATACAACGGCGCCCGACACGAGACTACTGAGGCGTGTAGGTCGGTTCTCTACGAAACTTAATATTTAAAGAACTCGGGTGTTTGGAAAAATAAGGAGAAATGTAAGGACAGAAAAGTTGCTGCAAATCAGATGTTTCCAATCTCGAGTAATTAGATTTTCTTACGAAGGATGAGCCATTATGGCACTTCACGCTTCACTGTAAAATGTTAACAGTGATATTGCCAAATTGACATCACACCAAAAAAAATGCATGTGTTTAAACTTCTACCAGACTACACAGCACTACAACCCAGTAGACAGCCATGAACATGTACTGAAAAAATATTGCAATGGGGCTGTCACCATGTTCAAAAATGCTATGTTTATAGGAAATTAACAGAACTTACACACTATACTGTTCTTAACTGTGACTAATTATAACAGCTTTCCTCATAGACGAGTTTCTTGACACACAGGCAGATTATACTGATGTTATTTACACATATAAACATCTCTGATTTTATGAAGGTTAGTATGAAATTGTTAGAACACAGATACACTAGCAACTGGAAATGCCATATGGGACATCGCTAAACATGCAGAAAGTCACTTCCATAAGGTTGCCTACATAACGCACCCAACAAAGGATCAGATTTGTTACCCAGCAGCCCTGAGGATGACAGCAGGGACTGTTCTCGAAATGTTGGCAGAAGATTCCTAACTGATCACCAATGTGACAATATGTTTCATCAGTAATCAAGTCAAAATGCAGTACTTACAATGTTATCAGTTATATGGTTAAGACACCTAATTCCGCGTATCCTGTTATCCGGCACAAAATCGTCAACGATAATGAGAGCTGTTGGAAGAACACTACTTAGGTGCGGGCTCAAATGAGGACTCTGAAAAATAACATAACAATGGAAATTAATTCAGAATGAAATACATTATAACAGACGCAGTGTGAAACTTCAATAATGTCAAGTGACAAAACTTACTGGTTCAACAACTGATTATAAAAATAAATAATAAATTATGTGTTTTGTCTCTTTGTTTAGGACCAACCTCACCAAGAAAACTTCTTGATACCAAATATTGTAAAACATACTTCTAAACTGACACTACAAGCAACCCTGGAATATAAACACTCAGCTTCTGTATTATGAAGAATATTTTTATATGTACCTATCTGACTGTTAATTTGCTTACTTATTTGAATCCACTCTCTCACAACGCAAATCGGAGTGTACGAAACATGCAAATTGCAAATATGAGCATAAATCCTTTATAGTTACCTTGACATGAAACATGAGCCACTGATAACAGGAAACTGCAGCCGGAAAAGACTTCCAAGTATCTTTCAGCAGTTTTGGGCGTAAGAATAAAAGTGCGGTTGAAAAGAGACCAACAAACTCATGTCTGGATTCAACTCCAGTCAACAGTTCTGATATAGATTTGCACTGGCACAATTTACAAAGGTGGCTAATGAGTTCTCCAGAATACTTAATTGTTTCTTCCGTAGTCCACTTGTCGTCATCAGAGTGTTCTCCACAGAGCAGAAGTAAATAAACGGCAAGATTTTTACTAACTCGCTTATTAGCATCAAATTTCTCACAACCTACGTTATTCGCAATCTGGTGAAAAATAAAGGTCAAAATCTTGAATTTGCTTCCAATTTCTAACACATACTCCTTATAATCCGACTCTTCGCATGGTCTTTCACTGCCCACTTTCATCTGCGGAACAAACGTTTTAAGGATCACATTTTCAACATTTTCCCAAACTTGGTCGGGAATTTCACTACTACTACTTTCTCTGAAGAATTCCAATGTATCTAGTAACACATCATCCCTCATATTTCCAACGCAAATTTAAGTACCTACAGATTGAACGTATTACAATTGTATAATATCTGTATATATATCAATGTAACAAAACTCAAAACACTTCGCAATCGTAACTACAACTCGTTCTCCGCCATTCTCAGTCAGGTTAGCCCATAGATGTTACCAACATGCTTGTCAGAACTTCAATATTAAATGTTGGTACGAACGTGGCCTACGACGTATATTGTTCTGCCATCTATCCGCAGCTGTCATAAAAGGACTGCAAGAACGATTTGGCGATAAGTCGGTACCAATGATAACTACTATCCCACCTACTTACCCACACCAGAGGAACAAACCAGCAGCAAAGAACCGACGTTTCTGACTTGTTTATAGCAGTAGGCACTTCTAAAATGTTAGTCAATTTGTACCAGACTAAATGGTGCAATATCCCACAAGTGTTCAACTGTCTCTGCCAATGAGATTTACCTCTCAAAAATGCAGGTATAAAATAGCAGAAAATGAAATGTAAAGGTAATCATAATTAGCATTCTCACTGTGTCAAAAATGATGTTCATTCTTGGAAAATTTCCTTCAACTACTGGATTAAAAGCACACATTTCAAAGTTGGTTGTGTTCAGGCTTTGGACCACAGGAGCACGGGATGAACCATTTCTATGGTCACCTGATTCCTTTTATTGGATTATTTGGGCATCATTCTCATCATGTACTCTCACTGCAAGATGCTTCATGGCTTTCTCTTTGGCTGTATATAAGCAGCTAGCTTCAGTCTAGAAGACCAGAAGCAGTTGTGTGAATCTTCAGTGAAGGATATGCTTCAGTCCACAATTATTTTCCTTAATGCTTAACATTTCTGCTTTATTAGCAGTTCGTTCAGGAAAAGCCTGAGGTACCATCTTAAAAATAGGTAGCAATCATTTGTTTCCTAGCTCCTCTCTTCCTTGACCTCGGCACTAGATGGGGGTGAGTGGTCAGCATCACGCCCCGGCCGGCTTTACCCCCGGGAAAGGACCCCGGTACCCATTGTAGAGGAGGCTGGGTGGGCCCCAGAGCCGGTCTGGACGCAGAGGCTAGAGGAAAAATCCTCTGCCCCAGTCGAGGATCGAACCCCGGTCGTCCAGCCCGTAGCTAGTCACTATACTGACTGAGCTATCCCGGCTCATATTTGTTTCCACAGTCTTCCTCAATTATTATCCTTATCATCCTCCTACTCATTTCTTACGTATAATGTACTACTTATCACAGAGTAACATATAGTTGCTGTAATTTTATTACAGTATATAATTCTACATGAAAATAAATTATTTATGTCTCATCAGAAGAACACAACAAATAAGATTGTACTCTGACATTTGTCCTTCTTCTCTTTTTTTTTTTGGAATTTACAGTTTTATTTTAAATCTTATCAGAATAGTTATTGGTGACAGCATTGATATGTTTGAAGGTAAATGCAGCTGTTTGCTGTAGGTTTAAGAGGATTTCATAATAATGCGCCAAGTACTTATTACCACTGTTTTTATTTTTGTAAACATGCCAGTATCACTGCATCAAAATGTTTCTTCACATTTGTTTTCACAGAGCTATTAAGCATTAATTTAACTGTAAAAATAGTCACGATGGAGTTACATGAATTGTTTGATACAAACTTTTTAAAGGGTACTGACGATGGAGTGTTATAATCGGGATCAATAAATTCTATGACTATGTCCATGGTCTTGTTTCTTTAAAAGGAACACTACATTTCAGATGCTGGATCTGCTTCTGCCCTCAGGTTAAAAAGTGGGGAGGTACACCTACTCAGTTGGATCTGATAGAAAGAGTGAACCTCCCCACTTAAAAACTGAGGACAGAAGCAGATCCAGCTTCCAAAATTTAGAGGGTTTTTTTTAAAAAAAAAACAAGACGATGGACATAGTCCTAGAATTTATTGATCTTGATTGTTTGACAAAGAATTAAATATTTTTATATGTAATATGAAAAATATTAATGGGTCCATTTTTAGGCTCATTCACAATTAATGGTTAAAAAAACTATGGCTCTCACGCGTGCCATAACTCTTTTTCCATCCATACGTCTGTCAGCATTTCACACATCTTGAGAACTGATAATTAAATTCTATTTTGAGGAGCTGTACTAAATTGTATAAAGTAAATTTGTCATACTACACACCATGTAGGTAGTTTGGGGGGGAGAGGAGGTATAGCTCCTACTCATTCTTGACTTTATCACTAGATTGGGCGAGTGGTCAGCATTACGCCCCGGGGAAGGCCCACAGTACCCGTTGCATAGAAGGCTGGGTGTGCCCCAGAGCCACTCTGGATGCAGAGGCCACAGGAAAAATCCTCTGCCCCCGTCGGGGATCGAACGCCGGTCGTCCAGCCCGTAGCCAGTCACTACACTGACTGAGCTATGCCGGCTCTGCACTAAATTGTATAGGTACATTAACTTTTATATTAAAATCATGCAAAAATAACTGGTGCTTTACACGAAGACTTGCATATCTGCAATTAAAGGTGACCTTGGAAGGGTGTGGGATAATCTACAGCTGAAGTAACCAAGTGGGGAATGACCCAACTAGACAATCCTTCAAAATATCCATTTCGGGATTTGTCTTCGATGACTACATCTCCTTGCCAGACACCTTGTCCAAGCAAAGGTTATTTATGTCATTTGCACTAGTCACCACTCCAAGGTTATTTGTAGCCTACGTCCAAAGTAATTGGGAATATTAACAATGATAACGTACCTAGGTAAGTACCGGTACACTCGAAACTTGGACCAAAGGCATCGTAAGTAATGCCAATAATCTTGTACTTAAGATTGAATTAGGACAATGGCCTATACATGTAGTGGATTGGCAAGTCCGCTGCAGATACTTATCTCAAGGTTAATTTTATTGTATTTACGTTTATAACAGAGCTGCTGACATGCAATAAATATCACAGTGCGTACGCATTACCCGATTCATTCTAAATTACGAAGTATAAAACTGAGCGATTCGACATCACGTGTCTTGCCGCACGTTATGTGACATCTGTAAGCAATCGCTTGGATAAATGTAATGGTAATTTGAAAATGGCTGTCCTCTCATCGTTGCACCGTTTAGTCTGTTAGAAGTTTGGCTTGTGTTTCAGAGGTGTTTTCTGTCTCCATCATCAGGGCATCTGTTGCAATTTATTTTGGAAGAAAAATTTCAGATTTCAGTGGGTCCCCCCCCACATGCAACGCTGCACAGCTCACCAATGAATTATAAAAAGAATAAAAAAACAAAACCTTGTTTCTTGATTGGATGTTATTATTTACATCATTATAAAATTATTACATACAAATATTTTCATTATAGCTTATGCCTGTCACAGACTCAGAATTTTCTACACATCTCAATGTTTTGTTGTCCTATAATTATTTCATGTTCTTTTTACAACAATTACAAGAGTAATAAATGTAGCAGCCTATTGCAGAAATTATATATACATAATTTTGTATACACTTCCCTATCCACTTCCGAGATATCCTCTCATTGTTATCTGAAGGACAGAGGGATTCTTACAGTCCAACCCCTCTCAGCACATTGTTGTTTATCAAATTTCTGGTTGTAGTCACTGACGCAAGAGTGCAGGACTGTGTTGAAGGAACTGATCACAAAGTTGATCTTATAAATTATATGGCATCCTAGTTGTAAGTTCATTGGTATGCATATTTATCAATACAGTTTATACTTCACTTATGACATCTTTCCATTCTAAAATATTCACTTTATTACAGGGAAATAATCTTTCTTTAAAGAAGAAAAGAACATACATTCTCATATTCACTGTAACTAATTTTGTCCGGATACTGTCCTGGAATATTGCGGTTAAACATAAAAGTTACTAAATCACAACGTATAAATTTGCTTCCATATGTTGGCATCACTTAAGTGTATAAAGAACATGGCACTTCCCAGGTTGATTCAGAGCTGTTCTCCTTCATAACCAATCATGCTTTGTATAAGGCCTGTGTATAAACATTCTACACTCGCATTATTTACATGAACGTCTTCATGCCTGACAGCTTCAGATCCAACCTTTTTTTCCCTCTTAACTTTCAGACACCTGGAGAACCAGCATATACGATTATAATATTATCACAGTCTGTCAACTTACAGTAACAGCATTTCTATGACAACTAGAAGCAGATATTTTGGCACATCAGTAGTGTATGCCAAATCTCAAATGTCTGTATGTATGTGTGCAGAACAAACCCACTTGTACACACAGTGTGGAGCTCCCAACTCATAAGGGCATACATGTAGTAACTTCATGAATGTGATTATGACGAAAGAAAGCATTCTGTAACAGACAATCAGTTCCACGCCTAAATATGTTCTACATACCTGAAGTACTGAGCCACATGGAAAATAACAGATGTAGTCCTGTTAAGAAGATTAGCTAGTGACAGACATTTGAGAATGACGTGTCTTCCTGCTCAGTAGTTAAACTATAAAGCTGTGAAGCATTCTGTTTGGCAGGATGTACTGAGCTACTGTGTACAGAATGTTGGCATACCAATGCACGCCTATTGGTGCCTGACTGACGGACCTCGCTGACGACACGTTTTTGCTAATCAGACTCAAAAAACTCTTGTAAAGTCTGAAGGGCGCATAGGACCAATGTGCAATCGACTGGCTGTCCACTACGGCATAACACGATGCCACAATGCCGTCTACAACAACCGTCCCTTCTCTCGTAAGCGGCGCGTACACACCTCGTTTCAGTATCGCCTCTGTCGATATCACAGTATCGATTTCAGGTTGCAGTCGATTGTGAATCAAGACTCGATCCCCGACTTTTACTCGGTCAGCAAATACCGCCTGTACTCGGTAGGTGTCACTAGTATTGCTAGCCACCATAAGCAGGTGCGAGGGTGTGACCGTTAGAGTTCGCCCCGATGCAGTGCGCAGACGCAGGAACTCGCGTCGCTGCTCGGGGTCGCGGTCCAGGAACAGAATCACCTCGCTGTACTTGAAGCTGCCTGTCGTCGTGTCGAGCGCAAGGATGCGTTCGCCAACCCTCAGCTCCTCTAGTCTCAAGAGAGTGCCACGAGATGTCTGCACCGTAGTTTCTGCCGTGAAGCAGCCACCCGTCTTGGCAGCCTGCGAAGATTCTGCAGGAGAAAAATTATTGCATTATTATCACAAGAATTCACCGAAGGTCGTGTCGTAAAATCCCAATTCCAAACGGGCGTCTTCATACGTGCTCTGCCATTCACAATGGACAATTTTAAAGCAGGAAAGGTTCTGATGATAACTGGCGTACAGCTCAATACTGACTTTTGTGATGCCTGTGTTGAAATATGCATTAATGTAACGTCTGACGCTTTGTGACAGTCCTTTGTTATAATTTATCCCCAATATATATACAAGGCAAATACCATTGTTTAGGTTATGGTAATTTGGTGTTAGTGTCAACAAACGTGGGTTGTTTCACGAGTATAAAAACTGATGAACCATTGGATCTAGACATTTCAAACTTGGTGTGGAAGTAGATTCTAATAATGGTTACAAATTCTGTACAAACAAGGTTATAAACGTATACTCTTTGGAGTACACTGACATTCCAACAATGTTATTCACACCAGATTTCGTAGGTTATTGTAGTGTCTGTTCGTGGGGTTTGCCTACCTCCTAGGACAAACGCGGAAGACAGACAAAAAATGTTCTTCGATCATTCTAGAGCATGAAGAACGCCTATAATTCAACGAAGAAACAACATGGCGACGGTGCGAAACTTTGATGTTGTACCTAATAAAGTCCGTACTTACGTAATACGTCTCTCTAGAGGAGATAAATCATTTAACATTCGCGTTTGAGTATTAAGCATGGAGGCATTTTAAATTAATGTAATTGTACGTGGCAAAATATATTAATTCTATCTAAATTTACGGACAAACATTTCCCTCTCACCAGAGACACTTCTGTAAGGTTGGTAACAGTTCAACATTTCCGGTGATAAGTTTGTGCTGACTCAGGCTGAGAGACGAGGTCCCTGGGTCGAGTTTTGATGCTTAAGACTGTACATTCTTGAGGAGTCGATGTTTGTCTTGTTGGAGTAGCATAATGCGATTAAATAAAAGGAACTCACTACCTGGTGCAAGGGGATATTCAATTTCGAAAGTTATCAGCACTGGGGCTCGTGTTCAGCGCTTTAAATAGGACTGAGACCCGAAAGGAACGCGGAGTGATATTAACAACGCACAAGCGAAGAAAGTCGACTCATTTCTCCATCCGTCCCCGTGCGTCAGACACTAATTTTGAGCGTAGCTCGGACATGCGAGAGAAAAACCCTTGCACAGTCCAAAATCTACTAATAAGGTGCCCAAAAAGTTTCGCAACTAAAAATTTTAAGTTGTATATTTTGTTAGTGTGACTGGGAAATTTAAATTTTTTGTGTTCAGACTTACGTCACGCAGTAAATCTGTGTTTTGACGGAGCTCCATCGGTCTTACAGTAAACTGTTTGTGTAACAAATGTTGCAACAGTGCTGCCTGTGTTTATTGTTCAAGAATTGTTTGCGGACGCACTTTCCTGACACTGCTGTAACAGACGAGTCGTCCATTTTTCGATTTTATTCTCAGTGGCGCCACTCTTAAGGCAAACGTATGGAAGTTCTTTTGTTAAATCTTATGTGGTACCGCCTGATTCGACTTCTAATGGTTAAGTGAAGTGTTTTCTTCGCGGTACGGTCTGGATTCGTAAATATTATGAAGACGAGCTTCGGCTTCAAAGGGTTAACCAGCTGATTTTCGTAATGGTGAGGTGTAGTGTTTTCTTCGCGGTGCGGACTGAATTCATAAATAATATTCAGACGATCTTCGGCTTCAAAGGGTTAACAGGGTTTCTAAGGGAAACATGACTTTTGGAACACCCCGTACGTTTGATCCACCGAAACTAGAGGTCAAGTTATAACAGAATCAGAAGACACGTTTCCTTAGTTGTAACAGACGTGGACACGTGTGGGTCACAGACCTTAAGGTCAACTCCCCTCCTGTAATTTGAAAATTACCTCTGAACGTCCGAAATTGATCCAAAACTTACGGACCTCGTCATACAGTCGGAGTGCGCGAGTTGGCAAAGAGTGATCTGTCTCGGGATTCAAACCTAGGTCTTCCAGCCCACGATCACGCACAAGAGACTTCAAAATCGTTTTCAGGCAGGGAATATCCTTTTAGGTTCCCTGCTCCGAACCCCCCAATTAAACACGTGGAGGGCCTGACAATAACATATTTGACAATTAATCTGAAAAACACGACCAGAGCGCCATGCCAAAAATGTGCCTCGTTCTGTAACCACGGTTTGAGATGACGTCCACACGCCTTCGTGGCGAGGTGTTCAGTCACGGGGACAAGTTACTGTCTGCACCGCTCAGGGGTCCGGAATGAAGGCGCTGTTGGGTTGGACCAGCCGGAAGACGGAAAACAAAAGAAGGGCGAAAGGCGAAGCTGCTAAGAGGTGGCGTGTGTACAGAAAGCATTCCACGCCGAGTAAACACAGCTCCGGCCTTTGTTTGACTTCTCGTCGGAATTCATAAGAACCGAAGCGCCTAGCAACAGGGGCCAGCGACGGAGAAATGAGAAATGTACACAAAATTGTGGTGGGGAAACCTGAAAGGGAACTGGTCCATAGGTAGTTACCATCAGAATGAATCTCAATGAAATACATTAAAAGGACCTGGAGTGGATTTAACTGGCTCAGGATAGGGCCCAGTGGCGGACTGTTGTGAACACGATAAATAACCTTCAAAACTTGGTATTTTATGAATCGCTGAGCAACTGTTAGTTTCTCATAAATAATTTTTCACCATGTGGTTAAGTCAGCTTCGTAATGCCAGAAAACTATCTAGGATTGTAATTTGGGAGTGGAGTTAACGAAACAATATTACAGTATCGGCTACATTTTTAATATTGTCTCATCATCACACACACATATCTTCCTTTCCTAATTAAATCGTATCAGGAGGGAATCATTACGTCATGCACCCCCGGAAAACCTCGTGGAACATAGGATGACCTGAAACCGTTAACACCCTCCTCTGTTTTAAGTGAACCTCGACCTACTATATACAGTAATACTAACTGCTGCCATCTAAATGAACTTTCAGTAATAAAACAACAAGAATTTAACAACACTGTCTATTAATGTATTTTAAACGAAATAAAATCGTGTATTTTCAAAACGCGTTTCAGTGTTTAAACATTTAGATACGACCTTTACGTGTTGGTCATCTCTCCACACGTTTCGGCCTTCAAAGCCTTCTTCAGAGGCGTCTTTTATACGCTCAGTAAAATACAGCATTCAAATTCTTTCATTAATTAGTTTTGAACAAGTTCGATAAACTTTCAATTCGATTATCAGTCACTGGATCACCTTACAGTATTTTTTTTAAAACAGAACAACGATGGGGTAACCAACGGCGAAGCACTCAGTTCGACTTTCGATTGAGACTGTCCTCAGAGCTTGTGTGGTTTTATTCAGTCCCTCCAAATTAATGCTGACGTCACAGACAACTCCGAAAGTCAGTCGCGTCTTACGCCATCTTTCTCACTTTAATATTCGTGTTAATTCTCGTCGACGTTCCATAAGTTTAGCAGTTAATCGGATCATTAATTAATAACGCATGGAGACCACTCGCCGCCATGTTACTGTTCAGAATCACGAGGACCCGTGGCATTCCTTCCATACCGAGATGGGACAGAGATACGTGACGTGTTAAGTTGCCACAGACAACGACTGTACAGCCGCCCGGCCTGCCCTCTACAGATCACTATCGGTACCATCAATCAAGTCAATGGACTTGTAACACGACATTACCCGACTGCTGAGCAGGCAGCCTGCAGCTACCAGAGGACCGTTCGCGTGTTTGGACCCCAGGTGCCGGCTTTTAAACATGCAAGGCGAAGGCGTCCTTTACGGGACCCAGCATGAAACAAAAACCCACGGAAAGGAACAGCGAGGAGGTTTAAAAATTTCCTGGGACGATCAGCCCGAAAATGTCCTCACGGGGGCACTGCAGAGGTTGGCTACAGCAAAACCGCGGTGAGAATTCATTTCGCTGGTCAGATCTGAGATTTCTATGGGAAACAGCAACACGTAGTCTGGTAGATATTGACCGATCTTTCGGACGATCAGTGTGGACCTCTTATTAAACGTCGCTCAGTGTCTACCAGACTGCATTCTGCAACGTCCCAGAAGAGAGCCATCTTAATTTTCATGCTATTTTGGGATAAAAGAGTTATGTCGTTCCTGAAACATAAATTTCCACGTGGATATCATGATTGTCATATCTCACAGACTGAACCGACCTCAAAGAAGAACATAATTCAGCACTTACGAGCCAACAGGTCAGAGGGAGGGACTTCGAGATGGATTATATCCGATGAACATCTATTGGCATGACTTGGCAGCATTTTCTTGTCTCCAGGATAGAAAAGTCTCAGCTGTGCACAAAACATGCCTACGTGTTCGACATCGCCTACAGGTTTGACTCTTTAATTAAATTCAGAATGTAAATGGTAAGCTCAGTGCCTCCATCTTACGTTTGCTAATGCACATTTTTTCTATCAGTCTAACCGGGTTTGAATCCTGGTTATATTATATAGTCCCAGATTTGTCACAGCCATTAAAAGTTTAAGGACTCTGTCAGCTCGTGTTTACGTAGGTAAAACCATTATTCCAACTCACGGCGTGCGAATATGCACTTTCTCGAATTTGGGAATACAGTGCCTTGTATTCATATAGACATGGTCCGTCTCCGAAATTTCTCACGTGATTTTGATTGAATCTGATACTCTGAGTGTCCACGAAAATGATCCTGACATAAATTGTACCTTATAAGATGCTCAGATGGACTTAATTTCTTTCGAGAAATTTTTATATAATGTATAATTTGTAAATACAAACACAGATGAATTGATATGGCTCTGGTAGGACATAGACGTTTCAGAGGACCTTGCTGCCTCTATCATCAGCGCTACTAAACGACGGTAAAATTCTACCAGGCCAAACTCAAATGTCACAAATTAATTCCTTGTCTCTTGCTTATGCAACAAATGAGCATCGAGGTACGAGAAATCCCAAATTACACATTCAACTGCACCTTCAGCTCGTG